GAAACAGCACTGTGGCTCTATCAGCACTGGGCTTCCCAAGCTGCACCTCAATAGGAAGACAGTGGAAGGCAGGAATTGGTGTCTGTATGATACAGCACTGGGAGTGGGAGCATGTAGATTCTGCTACAGGTGGGGGAAGGAACCCTTGAGGATCAGCTGCATGCAGCAAAATGTCTTGGGCCGACTCTGTATGGCACGGTGACAAAGCCCCGCTTTGCGCACAGAAGGTTCTATGCTTGTCCCAGAGCGTCTGCAGGCAGGGCTGGAAAACCCCTGCCTGAAACCCAGGAGAGCCACTGCCAGTCAGTGCAGGCAGCACTGGCTGAATGGACCCAGGGTCTGACTCGATATACATTTTCTAGGTTCCTCCAGATAATCATTTCTTTGCATTGTATTTTTTCTCCAACCTCTTTTCTCATCCCTTTATCTAAAGGGGTAAGAAGACGTGCATCCCTTTGAGTCTGGCTACTGCTCCGCCTTTTGCACAGAATCCCAAGTGCCACTGATGCGTTCAGTTGCGTGGCAGTGCTTCCTTGATTGTACCTGTGGAGTGCAGGCAGAAAGAAAGGGGTCAAGAGGGGACTTTGTTCCTAGATGGTGGAACAAAACCATCTGGCCTAGAACCACTCTGCTTCTAATGAAGCGTGCTGTGGAGGAGAGCCAGGAAATACTGGCCATCTACTTGATCTGGCAAGCGTAGCCAGCTTCACTGCGGTGTAGCTTCAAAATGCTCAGGGTATTCCACAGCACAAGCTGCTGCCAAAAGACAGCTGACATGCTCATGGCAAAGCAGAGGATCCCAAGAGGTTCGGGGAAGAGGGGAAATGCACCTGGGTGTACAAGACACATTTCCAAGGTGGAGTCAAAGCCTTTCATGTTAGGATCACAGCTTTAGAAGGAAGGGGCTTTCCTTCGAAATGCATGTTTCACTGGAGCAAGACACGTTCTCTTAGTAGTGTAAAAATCTGGTATAAGTGAACATCCGGAGCTGGACTCCGTCTCATGCTCTGTCCTCACCTGCTCTCTTTATCCATGGCATAGGTCCTTAAACATGGGGTCCTGTCCAGGGCAATGGGTGATACCACCTCACTGGACCCAAGGAAGTGCTCCAAGTGCCACAGGGAATTGCATGCAGCAACCAGTAATGTACGTTGTAGCTCTGGTAGTAGCTTATTCACCCTTGTGAGGTTTGAAAAACACTGGCGCCTGCATGACTAACCAGTGTTGTCCCTAACTCCGGAATGAGTGCGTCAGGACTAGAAAATCTGCGTAATTCTGTGCCCACACTCCACCTTGCGCTGCGTGACAACTCACCCTGCCACGTAAGATACCTGATCCCTCCCTCCGGATTCCTGGGCTTTGGCATGAGATTCAGAACTGCGGCTGCACCCACGCTCTATGCCTATGTATGTATAATCAGCGCATCGACGTCTATGATGTGTAACAGAGATCCAAGAACTGGCAGAACACTCCTCCTCGAGTGCCATTTTGGCTGATCCTATGGGTACATTTCAGTCTGAGAACCATCTACAAGAGGATGTTTGGAGGATTGCTAAGGAGTTTTTAAGAGCTGGCCAGCTGAGAGGTGAGGGCCAAGTCATATTTGGCACACAGAGAAAGATGAGTCCGTCGGCCCAAGTTGGGCGGGTAGTGAAGGCAGGTGGTTACTTCACCGAGCACGGAACTCGCCTGCCGGTTGCTGCCAAAACTGCTCAGATCACTGAGTGCTTCGGTTGGATTCATGAGCTTTCTGAACTGTGTGAGTCTCAGCGTGCTCCAAAACGGGCCCGGATCCACTCAGACTCCCTCGTACTGGCTTGGTTTTGCAAGCGAGTCCCAGAAGCTCACACACGGGCAGAGCTTGGAGTTGTCACAGAGGCTGCTGTGCCTCATGCACTTCGTCTCCACGGTCCCTAAATCCTCTTCTGCATTCTAGGGTGCTGCCTCAACTTTCCTGTTTTCTCCTGCCTGATCGAGCTGGTGAAGTAGCTTAATGCAAAAGAATGCAATTTGTGTATTTTGTTTAGATCCTAAAATCTGGAGCTCTTAAAGTAGGGAGCATCAGTAGGTGACCATCAATATTCCGGTTCACCCTACCCATATGCCACACACCCCATACTGCACCAAGGTTACTCTCCCCAGGGTAATCTCCAGCCTGCACAGGAGGGGCCTCCCTGGAGGGCCTTGGGAACCTTTTGGGCTCCAGCACAGGACCGCTTGCACAGGACTAAAGAAGAAATGCATCGTCAAACTAGAGGACTAAAGAGGGTGCAGGTTTGTGTTCAGTTTGCGTGCATGTGCATAAATGTACATTTAGAAAGAATTGCCATAGCTTATACAGGCATACCACATTTCTCCATACCAGGAGAGATCTGTGAGCCTAACTATCTGGTGTGCTAAGTATTAACAGAGAATTTCAGGTCCCTGCTGCTCTCCATTCTTGTGGTTCTTTATCATTAAACTGGCCTTGGACCAGGTAGTCAAGGCTGGGGACTGTCCTCTGCAAAGTAGGACACATGGCCGCCTGAGGCACAAGCCTGAAGTCACCCTCCATGTCCTTTTTGTTTCCCTGCCATCAGAGGATTTGTTCACAGCAGTCGGTTTCTGCCGCTATTTTTGATGTCCTTATCTCTGCCTATTTTAATACCTGAGCACCTGGGTGTGATGGAAATGGTATAGTTCGACAGGCCTTTCTCCTCGGTCTTGAGCTGATGAAAGACGCCTTTAAAATCTGGCTACAGCCATTGGACTGGATCTGCAGCAAAGGCATGTGATTCCGGTCGCAAACCAGCTCTGCAGCCTGCCCAGGGCTCCCGCCTCCTTCACAGGCCCCACGTTGCTCTGGCCCCAAATGCTCATCAGGGGCTCCTGAGCATGGGAGGCAAGGAGTGGGCCAGCCCATCATCATAATTAAGCTCTTGGGCTAGAACCAATGAGCCCCCGAAGAACTCCCTATTCCTCCAACAAGCTCCCTGGCTGACCTTGGCCCAGCCCCCCCACCCCTCTCTCTCTCTCTATCCCTATCCCAGGCAAAGCCTAAGCTACCTCGCAAGGGAGCAGTGTGGGTTAACGGAGGGAGAACCACATGCACTGCTGGGAGTGCACTGGAGACTGTACGTATAATAAATAAAATAAAGAGAACGGGTGGTTAACCCACAGGGCTGCCGAGAGGCACCTAGTCCCAACCGAAGGCCTTCCTTCTTCCTCTGCATCCGCCTCCCTGGTAGCTTCTGTAAACTGTTGGATCAGGTCTCGATTCGCACAGTGGGCCACGTCCTTTGACTTTCCTTGCACAGCCGCCTCAAGATGAAAGAGCTGCCAAGCTCTTCTGTAATGAAATCTTCTGGGTGACGAGTTCCCTCCAAAATGTGCAAAGGAGCATTTTGCCTTTCTTTCCTTTATCCCTCCTTCTTTTCTTTTCCTTTTGCTGAGCTCTGCATGCTGGCCCTGCTGCCAGTGTCTTGGGTGCTGGGAACATGTTTTGGCAGCATCTACCGCCAAAGCCACAGTCCCACCCCCAAAGCACATGTGACAGGTTTACCCGAGGAGCAAGTGCAGGCCTGTTTTCCTGCTGTGGGGCAGGGGCAGTGCCGGCTCCAGGCTATGGCGCCCTTGGACAAGACACTCCCGGGGGGCCCTTCCTCCGTGAGTCCGCCTTCCCACAGCAGCTGCTACCGCTCCTCACCCTCATTTTGCACCATTGTGCCTTCTCCCTTGTTTGACAGGAGGAGCATCTCCAGGGAGCTCTTGTCAGTGGGGCCTGGAGATTGGTGGGCCCTTGGCGAGAGCCCAGCCATGCCTACCCTGGGCACCAGCCATAGGTGGGGGGCCTCTAACCTGTCCCCCTGCTACTGTCCTCGTCACACTACTGTCCCCTGCTACTGTCCTGCCATTGTACTTCCAAACAGATCCTGCAGGCAGCATGTGCTCTGGCTCTCAGATTCGGGTCCCTGTGCTAACCACTGATGCTTTGGGCCTGCAGGGCTGGTCTTACATAAGCTGCAATGCACCTGCCGACTTCCTGTCATCCAGGAACCCGGGGCAGGATGTGCCATCCTCCAGTGCAACCAAGCTGCACCATCCTCTCTGTGGTTGCATTTCCTGAGAGAGAGAATCCCTCTTCGACTGACCTCTCTGGTCTCAATGATTCTCCCTCGAAGTTACTTTATACAAAGTGAGGCACGAGGCCCCTCTTCTGGGATGAGGGTGGGAACAGCAGACCCCACTTGTGCGCTTGCACCAGGCCTTCCTTGCCCTGCAGAGGTCTTGCAATTGCACCCACAATCATCCCTCGCACACGCAGTCCAGACATGCTGCCTCAGGTAACCGTCACCCAGAGCAAAATGACTGTGAATGTAGGCTGCAAAGCTGCAAGCTCAGGTCCTCTGTACAGAGTTTCTAAAAGGAAACTGTCCCAATTGGAGTAACTTATCTGCCTGTTTGAAATCCAGTTCATTTATTCCAGGAGGAGAGGGAGGGGACCAGTAACAACACGTCCGCTGAAGAAGATGTAAACTTAATTGTTTCCGGAATAGGGGGATAGTGCCCTTCAAACTCATGGAGATGGTACATGTTGTGCAATGAAAAAGTCAACACACAGCCCAGGTGAGACCAGAGCAGAGGCGCAGCTGGGCCATGGGGCTGCCTCAGCCGGCAGGTGAGTCCATTTCACAAGGGATCCAGAAGCAGGGAAAGAGGAACTGCCAGTGGGTTGTTCACCCACATCTGCTACTCCAGAACAGGAGCTCTGACTTCTCAACATCACTTCGGCAAAGCCGCAGGCGTGCTGTGGGCGACTAATCAACACATTCTGCCTTTCTGAATAATTGCAATGGACACTAAGGAACCCAACTCTCGGATTCTTGTTTGCAGCTGGGCTCGTGGCATGCAGTGCACAACTGAGTGATCTGATGGGTACAGCTGAACCATGGCACACCCAGTGCTCGTTCTCTGCTCATGTGTCTCCATTTCAATAAGTCTTCTTTTCTTCTCTTTTGCAGAAAAACCACGGATGAACAGTATCCTCACCTCTGCCACAGAGCCCTATGATCTGTCCTTTTCCAGGTCCTTCCAGAACCTCTCTCACCTTCCACCATCCTACGAATCTGCAATCAAGACTAACCCAAGTAAATATTCTTCCCTGAAGAGATTAAGTAGGTGTTCACTCATTTCATTATCTTGCTGCTTGGTGTGTGTGGTTAAGGTGAAAGCCAAAAAACATTCTCTCTTGTTGTGAGCACCTTTGCTGTCCCCTGCCCCTTCCCTCTGAAGACGGCCTGTGGGTAGAAACAATGGGCCGGTTCACGCGTGAGAACCCAGGGTGAAATCTTACTGTTGTGGGTCTCTTATGATATCCAGGTCCAGTTCCAGAAATCTCTGGGTGAAACCACAGAGAGAACCGGTAGCCTGCTCTAAGGTTTCCACACTTCACCACGGCTTCCCTGGTCATCTGGACCCACGATCGCTGCTTTACCAAGGCTGGTATGGAAATACCATCGAGTCCCCTGGCAAGGAGCGGCTGCTCCCAGCCTTCCATTTCGCCTGCTCTCAGCTCCCTAGCAACAGAGGCATCATTACAGGCTTTATCCCCATGGCCAAGTGATGTGTCCATCTGTGATGTACTTTTGGAAACAGCACAGGAATACATGGAAAAAGAGGGGGCAATCACAGCGAAATGTTTTATTTTCATTTAATTAAGACCTCTGTGGGGACTGGAGTAAATGGGAAGTGCCACAGAGGTGCACTTACGCTTGGGAGTGGGAAAGGGGGAGCTGCCTCCAGACTGTAGTGGACCAAGCAGGAGGTGGCTGCTGGAGTCCATCACCTCAGGCAGCAAAATGCATCAAGTCGGCCTGGCTCCTCATGGAAGCCACCTGGCTTGCCCACCCAGTTCTTCATGGCAGTCACCTTGGCCACTTTAAATGCCCCGTCCCTGAAGAGATAAGTGCTACCTTTGCTCTTCTTGGGTTCTCTGGGGCAGGTTGTTCATCCTAGACTAAATGTCCTGACCAGAGCATTGGATCCATTTCGGGACACGAGGAACACCTGATCATCACTAAGGCAAAGGCTAAGTATTGCCAAGTGGATGCCCCAGGGCAAATGGGCGCATTCTGAAGGGTGAAATTCCCCACCCGCAAGCGTCTCTCCAGGCGCCTTTAATTTGCCTCCTCAGGGACAGCTTGCAGATCTCCCGGCCTTTTCAGTGAGGCAGCCTCACACGGACTGGGAAGCTAGGGAACGTTCTTCAAGAGCGAGGGCAAAAGGGGATGGCTCACCCTTCCTTGGGGGTGTTGTCCAATTGCCTGAGCAGCACAGAGAGACGGCCTCTCTTTCAGCATCACGAGGTGACTCAGAGCACCGCACCCGAAGCATCTGCACACGGCCCGTGGAGACGCTGCATCTCTTCCCACACGGCGTGGTCACACGGGATGCACTGCCACCCAGGCTATTCTGGAGAGTTGCCCAGCAGCCCAAACACTGCAGAGGCATTTCCCCTTGGCCAGCAGGGAAGGGAAAGAAGGGAGGCTAGTCCCTGTCATCTAGGCAACACATGATTAGCCCTCGTCCCTTCTTGCAGCACAAAGAACAAACCTGCCCATCCTCATCAGCAAAATGGGGGTTCAGCCTTCTAGCCTGCAAATGGGGCTGTAAAGTTAGGGAGAGCCCTACTTACCACTGAGATATTCTTCCCAGCACCTGCAATTTGGTCTGTTATTGGGTAATACTTTAATCTCATCACCAAAAGCTTTGTTTATGTTCCCTCTAATATTCATTGATTTTTTTCAGTTATAAGTCTTCAGGATATTTGCCTTCTTCAATATGTGCCCCTCCCCTCCAACCGCTCCCTGCCGCCAGTCTGTAGTCTTGACACAAGCATAGCATCAAATAATATTTGCTTGGACAGATTGCTGGAAGAAAAAGAGGGTGGCCACATACACATTGCCAGAACTGGGGAAATCCAGCACCAAAAAAGAAGCCTAAGGAGGTCTCAGAATTGCATCAAGTCTGCATGTTCCAGCGTAGAAGTACAGGCGCCTGCAGCAGCAGCCTTTTCGTCCTGGACTTTAGCCAAGAGGGTCCCAGAATGGCTTACAAATACCAGTGGTACAATAACTCCAGCTCTCAGGCTTACAGTCAAATGACATGACATGCAAGGGGAAAAGTATAGGAAGGAAGGAGAAAAAGAGCCAGCTCAAGCACAAGTTAACGATTCTTATCACAACTAGTGATGTGGCTGCTGGCGGAGTGATCCCTGTGGAGAGCCAGAGGCCGCTGGTCTCCCAGCCATGCTAGTGCAACTGTCCTGCTTTTCTCCATTGCCTCCTCTTTGAAAATCATGGCTACAATTGAAAGAGCAGCACAGTACCTCTTGACCAGAAGAGAATGTGTCAGAGGAGTTGTGTGCTTACTCCGTTTTCTGTCTCATTGCTGAGTGTTGACAGCACCTTCAGGGGCCCTGCTGCTCCATGCTCACCTTTCTTACAGCTATTTCTCTTGAACAGGGCAGCCCCTCAGTGGAGGATACCCTCAAAGAGACACCTGTCCTTTGAAAAGTAGGACACACACACACCCTACATAAAACATGGATTTGATCCAGATTTAATCTTGCTTAGAGGAGACACAGTGAAATTAATGAGATTTAACTTAGTCATTATACAGTCTTGCCTATGTTGAGTCCTACTGACTTGAAGGGGCCTACTCTACTCATGCCCCATCTTGGATGCACACCTTAACATGGTGAACTGGCTTGAAAGTGCCGAAAAAGCCAGGAGGCCAAGCTGGTCTCCTACCAGGGTCACTAGGCTGGTCTCCTAGCAGGATTACCCAGGTAGAATGGTCAAAGCAGAGACTCCAGACTAAAATGCATCCAGCCTCTTAGGGAATAATGGTTACATGAGCAGAAGAGGATGGGTATCTTGGATGGTGATGGGGTGGTGATACCCCTGAAAGACAAACCTAGATGGATGACAGAAGAACTGTTTCCAGCTGCTAAGGACAGGCAAGAAGCAAAAGAAAAAGGTGGCAGAAATCAAGTCATGATGCTGAATGCAAGTTCTCAGCAACTATTACATAAAAGCCAAAAAGCACTATTACCATGACCAGTGCAAAGAAACAGAAGAGAAAACAAAAGAGGAAAAGCAAGCAACCTCTTCCATAAGATCCAAGAAATTAAAGGGAAATTCAGACCTAGATTCAGAATGCTGAAAGACAGAGGAACACACTATCAGACCAGATTAAAGTGAAGAGAAAACTGGAAGAATATATGGAAAAACTATACAAAAGAAATAAAAGGATACGACAAATTCCTTCAAAAAGGAATCCTATGAGGAAGAGCCTGCAATTGAAAGCACTTGGAAGGAATATGGTACCTGGAATAGATGGAAACAGAGCGAGTCAGAAGTGTTCTCCTGGCCCATCTGGTCTGACCCCCGGCTCCAGCCGGCCCACCATGTGCATGTCCAATTTCAATTGATAGGGTACCGATAAGAGTTATTCCAAGCTGCAAAGTCTGAATTGGTCCAAATCCTAACAAGAATAAGCCAATAAATATGGGAAATGAAACAGTGGATCACAAACTAAAAATGTCCCATACATATTTCAGTTTTCAGGAAAGAAGATGCTAAGGAATACACAGTTGATGTATAATCTGTATTGTGAACTGGAAGCTACATTGTGACAGAATATGGAGAAACAGAATGAGTTTCCCATAGGCAAGGCATCAGACAAGGGTGAACATTATCTCCCTGTCTGTTCAATCCATACACATAAAGAAAGCTGGATTAGAATCAGCGGAAGGAGTGAAACTTGGCAGAAGAAGCATCAGTAATTTAAGACATGCAGATGATACCATCTTACTGGCAGAAAGCAGCAATGAATTGAAGGGACTGCTGATGAAAGTGAAAAAGGAAAGCACACAAGCAGGACTGCACCTGAACACTGAGAAGAAAAAAAACCACCAAAGAGTTACACCGCTTTACTGACAACAATGAATAAATTGAAATTAGGGAAGATAGTGTATACCTTGTCTCAATCATCAATTCAAATGGAAGCTGCAGCTCAGAAATTAGAAGAGTAAGACTTGGAAGGGCGACAGGGAAGACCCTAAAGTGTAAGGACATTTCACAGAAGACCAAGGCACTATTGTATTGCCAATCTCTGTGTATGGGTGTGAAAAGCTGGACTGGAAGAAAATGGATGCACTCAAAACATGGTGCTGGAAGAGAGCTTTGTGAATACCCTGGACTGACAAAAAGACAAGCCAGTGGGACCTAGATCAAATCAAGCCAGAGCTTTCCCTAGAATCAAAAACGACAACACTGGAGCTTTCGTGCTTTGGACACATCATGAGAAGACTCCCTGGAGAAGTAGTGCTAGGGAAAGGGAAAGGCAGAAGAGGAAGGCCAAAGAGGAGGTGGATTGACTCTTTTAAGGGAGCCTCGGCCTTTTGCTGAGCAGGACTGAGAAGGAATTCATTCACTGTCCCATTCAGTGTCCTTGCTTCTGAATGACAGAATTACTGTGGAATCCTCTGGCCCCCGGAGACTGGAGTAATAATAGCCCAGTAATAATTCCTCCCATCTCTTGGGGTGCCTGAACGACACTCTTAACCAAGAGAAATCAAAGAAGTGGAACACTGAATTTCACTTTGAATGGGAACAAATTCTTTATCCACAGGCACGTAGTGTGTCCCCAAGTTGGTTTTGCTCACCAGGTGTGTTGCTGGGTCACCTGCACTGCTGGCAGAGGGCGCCTCAGCCCTCTCTGCTAATGGCAACCCAGCAGGTGCTGCACAGGGAGTCAGGAGACGCTGCTGAATGAGGTGAGCCGTGCTGTGGAAGGAGGAAAGATGGGATGGAGGGACTGTCTAGACAGCAAGCAGAGCCCTTAATCATAGAAGAGTAGAGTTGGAAGGGGCCATCAAGGCCACTGAGTCCCTTCCTCTTGGGGAAGGTAGATCCTGACCATTCTAATCGGCAGAGAAACAAAGCCTTATTTAAGGTGAGAGCCCACGGCCTGAAATCCTCAGTGGGACAGTGTGGCTTCCACCCCAACTGTAGTTGAACATGCTCTTGGCACCAATCCTGTTCCGCTGAGTCCATGCAACATTTCCAAGGGAACTGGAGGCTTCTCTGCAGCTTTGCAACCAAGTGCCATAAAGGGACGTGAATCCAGTATCGGCATAAAAACAGTTCCTGGAGGGTTGCCTTTCCCACCACGCAGTCTCCATGTACGCATAGCATCCGTTTATTCACAGGGTCACATGCCACGCATGGAAAAGGCAGCACTCAGGGCTGATGCTTCTACTGTCCATTGTGCATTTCTCGCATTGGAGGAGACACCCCGTTTTTGCCACCTCCCCCCCCACCCCCCACCCCACCATCTGCTATAGCTCATCTCCTGAACACGGCCTTTTTATTTTGGCTTTTTCTAGCTGACAAGGAAGCTGAGGAATATTACTCAAGGAAAAGGCACCTTCCAGACTTAGCCGCCAGAGGGACCCTCCCTCTCAACGTCATCCAGCTGTCCCAGAAACAGACCAACCAAAGGGAGCGGCCGCGCCGGGTGATGCGGGCCATGTCCCAGGACCGCGTGCTGTCCCCGGAGAGGGTCATGCCGGAGGAATTCAGCATGTCTTACGAGCGGATCCTCTCAGACGAACAGCTGTTATCCACGGAGCGCCTCCATTCCCAAGACCCGCTGCTCTCTCCAGAGCACTCTGGCTTTGCAGAGCAGTCCATGTCGCGGGCGATGTCTCACTCGGATGTCTTTGTTTCGACGCCCGTCCTGGATCGCTACCGGATGACTAAGATGCACTCCCATCCCAGTGCCTCAAGTAACTTGTACAACACCTTGAGTATGAACCAGACGTCTGCCAAGCGCCAAGCATTTGCCTCCCGGAGACACAACACGGTGGAGCAGCTACACTATCTCCCAGGTCACCACCACCACTACCGCACAGCCAGCAAGACGGAGGTGACTGTGTGATCAGAGACACGGTGCGTTGCAGATAGTCCATCTGGACGGGGTGGCTTCAGTGCCCTACACTGCAGTGGCCTTATGGCCAAGATAACCTCTAATCCCTCTTCCGACAGTCCTGTCTGTGTTGTTCTGAAAATTCATCTACATGTTATTGACATAAGGCGGAAAAACAAAACCTGACTAAGGAGAAGTGATGCAGGTAAGATTTCCTGACATGCTCAGTTTCTGTCAAAGAAAGCCTTTGGAGATGGTGGCTCCTTTCAAGGAATTGCCTGCCCCTGCTCTCCAGGGTGGGGGCGGGGGGCCGTGTGCGACCCTCCAGATCTTCTTACCCACCGCTCCTGTTCCCTCTCCTACCCAGCAGAGCCAATCGTGAGGGATCCCAGGAACAGTGAGCCAGAATGTCAAGAGGGCCGCTCTTGTGTTTGCCAAGCTGGTACTTTTTAATGTCCATCCCAACAAACCGAAAGAAACTCCCCCCAAATTGGCATCATATGGCAAACTTGGCAAGACTTCCCATCAGGCATGATTGGATTCAGTTGTGATCCAAGCATCTGCAAGGCGTTGGATTTGGCCACAAATGCCCAGCTATAGTCTTGGCCGGGCACAGTGCCAGCTCAGACCCATCCAAGGAAGTAGAAGGTGGCAACCCATGTTGATGTGAACATGATTCTTCCCGGTCCTGGGAGAAATTAGCATTTGGCTAACTAGGTTAAAACCATGATTGCCACAGTTGGAAAGCCACCTAGTTTTACAGGTAACTGAGAACAGAACTGCTCCACTGCCTAGAGTTGCCAAGCCTCTGGATGGCAGAGGAAGCGAAATGGGTTTGTTTATAAGCACAATTCTGCTGATCAGGGTTTGCCAGCCCCCACCTCATCTTCCATCTGTCCTCAGATATATAAATCTCCAACATGTAAATACATTTTTAAATGGAAGTAGGACAGAGTTGCTTCTCTCCACAGCAAGAGGCACCCAAAATCACACCCATTTTTACATAATTTAACAACACACTATTTTTATGCCCATGATCTTGAGATAGACATAATACCTTGGCAATCCTGTACTCATTTGCCTGGAAGTAGTCCCCACCAAATGTAAGAGGACTTACTTCTGAATAAATATATATAATCGCTTGCCGGTGGTTACAAGTTACGTAGTGCAGCTGTAGACCAGTTGCCATTCTGGGAACAGTTGACCACCATCTTTGCTTGGCTTCTTCTCAGCTGCAGCTTGCTGCCATGTACCCTGGTGAGATCCTCACGAAGAACAGCCCTTTTTCAGAATTTCCCAGAGAAAGAGATGGAAAGACTCTTCCCCATTACCCCCACTTCCATACCCATATGACCCGATGCCATGTTTGGACTGCCACCCTTGCCGCACCCCAATCCCATCCAGCAGGTGGAGCACTTGCACAACCGCCGTGCAGCCGTAATTAGACACCAGGTGTCTGTGAAAAGCCTTTCAGAGAAATGTTTGTAGGTCCAGCGTTGGCTGGATTTTATATAGAGTGGATAGATGTTAATTCTACGTAACAAGTACATTGCGACCCCTCCCTTCCTTCCCTGCCTGGCCCCGGCTGCAGCAGTGGAGTGCGATGGCACATGTTTCCGTGAGATGTGGGCTCAGCCCGTGGGGAGCTGGCACTTGCCCTGTTCCGAGAACACGTGCCAACAGCCCCCCGGGTCCTTGCATCAGATCCCGCCGAGCCTGCCCGGCGGAACATGGATCAGCACTCCCCGACTCCGTGGCCAGCTCTGGCAATCCCGAAATTCCCCCTCATCCGATTTTGCTCAGGTGGCTTTGCACTTGGGAGTTATCTTCTCTGCATTTTTCAGAGAGGCACACATGTGAGAAAGTGATCCGCCTGTTCCATAACGACGACTTCCTTTCCAGCACTAATCAAGCGCAGCCTTGGGGCTGCTTATACCACTATGTTACGCTTAGAGACTGCAGGCCGGAGCCTTCGGAAACCTGCGCTTTGCTTAACAGAAACTGGGCTGGGTAGGAAAGCCGCAATGGGCGCCCCACCCCTGGCTGTCGCCCCTGCCCCGCCCTCGGGCGACAGGCGTGAGCTCTGGCGTGGTCGGGGCCCACTGCCGTGCATCCGAGTAAGGCCACGGCATGGTGTGAGACCCACACGCGGCAACACGAGGCATTTCTCGCCCCCAGATTCGCTGTCTTCAAACACCGCTGTGCCCGCAGTGGACACAGCGGCACCCAGACAGCTCCTCGCCCGCAGGAGGCCTGCCATCTCGAATGCTGCGCGTGTGGCTTGGGTGTCTCCGTTACGTCAGCCGCGGGCGCGCTGGTTGCATGGCTGCAGCAGAGAGCAGGGCTGCGGGCCTTTGACTTGCCGAAGCAAAGAGCAACGGGACCCTGCCACGGATGAGGCCAGCCTAGGTGCAGGAGTAGCAGGGCATTTCCAGGTGGCGCTGAGGGGTTCAGTGGTTGCCTCTGTTTCCCACGGTCACGCCACACATCCATCCGAGCTCCCTTCCGGGGTGGGGGGGGAGTGCGCAGACACCTGCCCACCCAAGCCTGTCCGGCCCGTTTTCAGGCCACCTCCCGACCTGCCGCTTTGACCTGTCACCTGCAAAGCAGGACCGGTTTCCGCTCTTCCTGCCTGCTTGGCCCTCTCAGTGTGTGACTCGAGCACCGTGGCTGAGAGGTTCACCGGCCACTGTGACGCTGCAGTGACGGGATGGCCCCCAGCCCTGCAGAGGTGCTCATGGAGGACAAAGCTACCTGTGGCTACTGGTCCTGATGGCTCTCTGCTACCTCCGGTGTTAAGGGCAGCAGGCCTGTGCACACCAGTGGCTCCAGAACGTGGATGGAAGGGCGCTGGTGCACTCGCGTTCCACGTGGGGCTCCCACAGGCACCTACTCAGCCACTGTGTGAAGAAAATGCTGGACTGGTTGGACTTTGGTCAGATTCAGCAGGGCTCTTCCGACATCCTTCAGCTTTTCTGGGGCAACGGTGCTGCCCGCAGAAAATACAAACTAGGCCTTGGTCTCTCGACAGCTAATGTTTCCTATATGACTCACCAGCACATCCTTCTGTATAAGCCCTCTGAGGACAACGTTCAGCCATAGTGGTGCACTCAGGGTGGTGACGCTGCTAAGGTCACCTCTGCCCGGGTTTGGATGTAGGGCTTGAAAGCGACGGACTGGCGTGTTCCGGAGGTTGCTCTTGGTGGGCAGGTGACGTGGGCTGCTGCGATTCCTTTGTGGCCTCCTCAACTGGAGTTCTTGTCTCACATCCACGTAACATTTAGATGGCTGTCCCTTCAGCCCAGACAGAGGAGCTATTGTTCCTCCACACTGAGGGAGACAGGGGGAGCTAACGCAGTGTAGATAGACAAAGTGTCCTTCAAGTGCTGGTAATACCAAATATTTTGCATCTTGCCTAAGTACAATGCTGTTAGGGAGTGTTCATTTATGTATAACATTATTTTTATCCCAGTCTTTCAAGTGTCTAGTGCCCAGGGCAGCTCACAGTAGGTTTTTTTTTTTTAAATTCAAATTCAGCAACTCAGAACAATTTAAGCAATATCCTATGATCCAAAAACAGTCTAGTATAGACAGAGGCAGCAAACAAAACAACAAAGCAAATGAAATGGAATGCCTGTCTGCACAAAAGAAGTCTTCAGGTGGCTGTGAAAAGGCTGGCCAGGTGAGAGCCAAACAGAGCTCTTGAGGCAGGGAGTTCCACAGGGGAGTCCTCCCTCGTCCCTAGCAAGCACAGGATGACAGGCAAGAGAGCCTCTTCCATTGGTCTCAGGGAGCAGGCAGCGCTTCGGGTGTCTCCATCTCCGAGCATGAGGGCTTCAAAAAGTCACAGCCAGCACTTGGATGGGAGCCCAGCCCTGAGGAGGGGCCTGGCACAGCACGGACGCAAAGCAGCCACATTCAAAGGACCAGCAGCCCCGCTGTGAAACTTCTCTGCAGCGTTTTCCACGTGTTTCCAGCCCTTTTTTTAAAGGCAGCCCCCTGTAGTCTTAGGGATGCAGGTTAAATGTCATTCTTGCCACTTAACTAAACTGGATATCCTAGCCCTTTAAAAAAGGTGGATACAGCTTTTTTTCCCCTTAAGATATTATGGAGTAAGTCCCACCTGGTTTCAGATGTTTTCTTTTAGCTGAAAATTTGAAGACTCAATTATCTTGAGTCTTCAAATAGATTAGATTTCATAACTGTGAGTATGGGCTGAGAGCTGGAACAAGCAACCGAGAGGACAGAGTTTTGTTGTGGCTTATCCTAAATTAAGGACAGTCCGGTCCTTATGTGGGTTGTCCAAATCCTGACCTTGTCTAGCATTGCAGCTGACCAAGTGTAGATAAGGTACAAGTTGTCATGTCAGCACTTCTAGCTTCGTGGGAGACGCCCAGATAAAGAGGTCCACCTTTCCTCCCTTGCTTTCAAACAGATTGTTCCTCACTCACGACCCATGGGTTTAATTTCCTACTTGCGTTTTTCTGCTAGAACTATCTCATGGCCTTCATTCAGAAGAACAGCAGAAATGTCCATACTGTGATCAGAAGAACCAGAATTCCTTGGTGACTTCTTAGATCATTTTTTTGATCTGCAGGTTTTCAGAAAACATTCAGGTAGAGCTGGGATGAACCGAACATGGACAACCAACTGTTTGGGACCAACTCCCAGAAACAGCTCCCAGTAGGACCAGTGATCAAACATGCTGGGAGCTGAAATTCAAAACATCTGAAGCCCAGCCCTAAGGGTGGAGCTTTCTAGATGTTTTGGCCTACCACTTCCATCCACCCCTAGCCAACAAAGCCAGTGGTGAGGGATGATGGCTGTTGAAGGTCTAAACATCTGGCAGGCCACAAATTTCCAGTCCTGAACTAAACAGATGTTTCAACAGGGCATAGAGAGCAGGACATTTGGACTGTAGTTCTGTAAGGCTACACACACACAAACATACACATGAAGACTTACACTTGCATCCAAGAGTAGGGAAGTGTGGTGGTCTGACAATGATTTATATAGCTGAACAGGCAAGTAAGTTTTAACTGAAACTGGAACTCACCCATGCAGTACCCCAGTGCAAACTTCCAAGTCATCTCTGGTTGCATGCACAGCTCAATCATGCAGTCTTTTTTGAGTCATTTCAGCCCAGCCGGCCAACAAATGCAGTCAGTCTGGCTCCCTCGGAAGTGTTGCTGTATGGAAGATGTTTTTGCTGCGTTCACATTTTATATTCGGAGGTTTGTCTTTATTTTCTTATTTGACTACCACCTTGACTTTTTGCTGTTTTTAGTCTGGAGTGGATTAGACTCATGAAACCTTTTGGGAATACCCGGAATACACAATGTACAAAAAAAAAAAAAACACCCTCAGACTACAGCCATGGGTGGTTTCTCCTGTGTTTATCACATACCCTACACCAGGGATAGGAGAGGGATGGCCCTCTAAATGTTGCTAGACATCAACTCCCATCAGCCCCAGTCAGTATGATCAATGCTCAGGGATGATTGAAGTCACAGGCCAACAACATTTGTAAGGTCAAAGATCCAACAAATTCAAGGAGCGTGATATTTTGTTGGGTCTTGTTCAAATATTTATCAGTCCATTAGGAGAGGGTGGGCGGGGTGAGGAGAGAGAGAGAGCTGAACCCATGAACTCAGGAATGTAATATCTTGGAATGAACAATCGTAAGTAAGCCCTTGATGCAGAGAACTATTGGAACGGCCCTTGTATATCGGCTGTGTCTACAGGAAGTGGCATTTCCTCCATGGAGAAAAAATACTTCCGCATGCATGCTGGTATTCCATTCTTAAACTCTAAGGAGGGACAGGGTGCAAAAAGAGCGCTTGCAAATTTCCTCCTCCTCAGATGTTATTCTGAATAACTACTCCTCCTCTACTTACCAGCACTTCTGGGCAACATATACTAAGGGCAGCCCATAAACTTGCGTATCCAGCTGCCCAACACAGAGCGGTCACTGCAGCAAAGAAGCTGCAATGAGCAGCCAAACGATTCTGACATGGGACCGGAGGGACAGAGGGCAAGTCTGCCTGTGAGCCTGGCCCGGGAGATAGAGATCATCTGGGCTTCTTTACAGAAATGTCTGTCTTGAGATGCCCATCCCTCACTCACCTCAGCTTCTTGTTTCTTTTCATGGTCAAATGTTAACCAAAATGTTAATCCAAGGCTGAAGTGAGAGCAACAGAAAAGAGCCCCCAGATAATGAGCTTTCTGATCTAGGTGCATTTTGAGAGGCGTGACAGTGTAAATATCCCCTTCGCATATGGAAGTGCCCGAAGGTCTAAAGTCACTGCAGCCAGGCAATGACACGAGAGCAGCATGGAAGAAAAGAGAGAGGAATGTGGTTAAAATCGTTCTGTTTCGTGAGCAGGGGTTGTTGATTCAAAACTGCCACATGAACCACTCATCCTAGCTATCCTTGACTGTATAGAAGGTACAGATCTCATGAGAAACACTCTTGCCTGCCGAGTAATATTAATGAAGACAAGACGGACATTCTATCCTATGTGACTCATTAGCCGTTCTCAATTTCCCTAGTAGGGGACCAGACCAGACCTCCACGGAAAGCTCTTTGAGGCATCTGCATTCATGTTTCATGGGGATTAAAATTTCAGGGGAGAGTTGACTGGAATAAATCCGCAGAAAAGCCTTAGCAATAATTTGGGGTGGGGTTGGTTCTCAGTAATGTGTGTTGAATGTTCATTGCTAATATGATGACTTAGCATTGTACCTGAGGTGTCTTCATGGACTCGTAGTGGGAGCTGGTGGAATCAGTTGCCCTTCATCTGCTGGAGGCCTGTGGGAGGAAGGGAGATGGATGCATTCTGTTCTTATAATATTTATGTAAATCTGGGGGGTGGGTATAAAAGACCCATTATCTCATTAGTTAGCAAAACTGGCATTTGGTGTCTCTTTCGTGACCTTTCATGAGTTGTGGATGGTCTCACCACTGGTGTGGAACCATGCCTTACTGTTGCTCTAACCACGTGCTTAGCAGCCGCAGCTTCAAGCCTTCATTCCACATGTGTACGAGGGATTCTTTAGCAAGAGTTTCTTCCCTCTGAGGAAGCCAAGTCGTATTCTAACCAGCTTCATTTGGGGGCTCTGTTTCCTGAAGGGAAGGTTGAATGTCCAACCCTCTTTGTGCTTTAGCCCAGTTTATGGAATCCATGTTTATTCTCCAGTAGTTCTGATGAGGAAGTACATTTGTATCTGTACCTTTGCACAGACTCTTGGTTACGCATTAAGCTTCAAGGCAGCAGTATTTGACTGTTTTTCTCTGTATTATCCTTGTTGTTATACTTACCTGTAAAAGCACATTCTGTAGGTACTGTAAACAAAACTATTACCGGTTTAGTAAAAATTTAGAGTCTTAAGGATTTTTTCCACTTTTGTCAGTAACAAATATTTATGGATTCAGAAATAAAGGAATTTCAGCAGAAAAAAACCCCTCTGCTTCTTTTTCATACACTTTGAAGACACTCAGAAGGCTCTCCTTTGTGGCTACCTTTGCAAACTTGGCAAGCAGAGTCTGAGAGGCATATGCAAAGGTGTGTGTGTGTGTGCGTGTGTGCAAATTGTGTGTGTGCACGGACTGTGCACGTGTTTGAGGAGTAGTGGTCGCTTCTAGAGCAGCCTTCCCCAGCCTATGGCCCCCCAGGTATGTTAGACTAAAACTTTCTTCTTCCTCAGCCAACAGTTTTTGCTTGATAGGAATGATGGGAGTTGGAGTCCAGTGCATCTGGAAAGCAGTAGTCTAGTGCTGCATACATAAGTAGTGTCCTTATTTTATCAAGGTCTGAATGCTGTTGTGGGGCAGCAAGGGCCACTGCTTGCTTAGTTCAAGGAATGGGAATGGGACCGGAAGCAGGAGAGCAAAGGCACGGTCGAGAAAGCATGCAACACAGTCAGCACACCGCAACATGGGCACAGATGCACAAAGATGAGAGTGTTGTCACTGCAATTCAGGGGTGAGTTGCATGAAAAACCCCCTCAACGTTTCACATGAAGCTTTTGCCACCTTCCAAATTTGTACTGCCTTAGACAAGAAACATCACCTCTACTGAAAAGTTATTCAAGTTATCAGAATAGACCATGCAGCCTTGATAACTAGCAGTATCTCGGTTTGTTTGAGGAAAGGCATGGTGTTTGATCATCTTAAAGTTCCTTTAATCTTCAGAGGCTGACAACGATGTCTGACAATCTTAAATCAGCTCCTTCTTCCTTTTTGGCTAATGTTGTTCTATTGTTAGTTGTCTCGCTGGCCAAAAGATGCTTCGATAACATCACACTCTTGTCTTCTTACACTGGTGCAGTATGTTCTGGATTTGGTCCCTTGATCACCTTAAGGCCCCAACGGAGCCTCATTCCATGTCTTCACCCACAATGGCTCACCTACTCCAGAAAATCAGGAAGGACACTGTAGTTTACCAATCCTGACATATCATGGGTAGCCAAGTCACGATGCAGAAGCCACGCGTCCCTGGCAGGGGTTATCTGTGGCAAGCCGGGATGGGAGCAGGAGGGCCTGGCTCAGGCGCAGATCCAGGATCGCATCCCTGCTTCGCTGCCTCCTCCCCAGCTCAGCTGGCCAGGCTCGAGGGGGACAGGCAGACAGCTGCATACGACTTGATAAAGTACTGCAGTTAACCCTCAGGCTTGACTTATGGCCGATTGGCCAGGAAGGCTTGGCCGCGACTCTGCTACATGTTGGAGAACATTGCTTCTGAGAACTGGCAGCGAGAGGACTGTGGGGAAACAGTCGCGCTCTTGAATATTTCTGCTCAGTCTAGCTTTGTGCTGCAGGTGAGCACTTCTCAGTCCTTTTCATTAATGGCGTTCCTCTACTGGAGTTTATCTCAGGATTATAGCAGAGTTGCAAGTCATGAATGGCCCAAAAACAGCAACAATGGTTGGAAACCGTAAAACTGTGCGTGCAGCATAGATGGCACTTCAGGGCTCAATGGCAACTTCTATATGGAAGTTTCCCCACCTCCCAGGAGACTGAAGTAAATGTGCCGGAGGAGGGAGAGGGCGCTGTGGACCCAGCTAGGCTTACAGCTCAGCTGAGGTGCAATCGTTAGAAAAAGCAGTCATGCGTAGACTGCAAGCTGTCTAATAGGCTCTTTGCAAGTGAGTGGTTGTCTGTTGTGCAAGTGGGAATGGCAAAAATGCCAAAAAGGAGGAGGAGAAGATAAAGGAGACATAAATATAGTCTATTTATTCGTCCGTTTGTTTGTTTAAGACTTTTATATCCCGTCACCACATGCCTCGGCATCTCGGGACGGCTTAGACATTTAATCATTTTTAAGTGCTGTGTAGCCTCTATGCAGAGTAGCAATGAGGATAAAAGTGCAAAGCCCCCCCCCCCATGATGTATCAGACATTTGAGAAGTAAAGATTTGAAGGGAGCATTCAGTTTGACGCTTGCCAGCTGGATGTATGCAAAATATTCCCCATATAGTTTTGCATTACTTAGCAAGTTGGGGAAAATTCGCAACTGGCATTATGAGTTGGGGAGGTCATTTATGGAAAATAACTGCCGATTTTTCTGATGCACAAATCCTGAAGAATCAGGACCACTGCCTTGTTTTCTCTGGCAGGAGACCATCTGTAAGTGTGATGGGGACGCTTGTCCCATTCCCGCCTGGAAAAATGACATCTGCACCATTTCTGCTCATTATACCATCAGTGCAACCCCAAAGCCCCGCATCCAGGATCTGCACGACACAACAAGCCCCGGCCAGCCAGGTGTCCCTCCAAAGAAAGGTACTCACAGGTGCCCTGCGACCTGCGACAGCCCCTGCAGGTAGCTTCATCCATGCTGAGCGCTTGCATCATTCAGGCCGGTCCACTGAGCTGACAATTGAGAAGAGGCCGATTTTACATGATGTCAGGCTGAGCAAGCTAGCAAGAATCTAAGGAACATGGGCGCTATCCCACGCTGAGATCAGAGTTGCTTAATGTGGTCAGCCTGAGTAAAAATACTGTTGCGTCACCCTGAAGCAAGAAAAATTGTCTATAGTGAGCATGGAATCTTATTTACATAATCAATTTCCAGAGCCCAGTTTGGGACTAGGATCCTAAAAGGCCTTCTGCCAACACAAACAAAAGGATTCCTCACGTTCCAGCCAGGCAGTAGGTCAGGGCAAGATACTTGCAGCCAGAAGGGAAGGACAAATGCTGTCCCCCACCCCAAGTCCATGCACAATCATGCCAACTGGGCTGGAACTGGCGATGCAGCCTCCTCCTCCCACATGCCTGAGGCAGAAAGGAGGCTCTTGAGGAATACAAGAGGGACTGTTCCCCCCCACCGCCACCTGCCACCTCTTGCTGCCCCCTCCTGGGATCCGCTGCCCGAGGCAAACCCCTCATTCTGCCTAACGGCAGGGCCAGGATTACTCATGGCAGGCTGATCCCCGCACGAGTTATCACTCATTATTTCTTTGTTTGCAAAATGCATAAACTGCTCGATATCCAGGCATGGAGCCTTTTGGAGAGGTGAACAATAAAAAATAATACAGTATGTTGAAAACAAAATCAATGAAACTGTGGCTGGCTAGTTCAGGACAGTTCATGATTGGCTTATGTGTAGTTCATGATTCGACGGCTGAGAGCTTGCAGGTGTGAGTGGACCCATCACAGTTCTGCACATGGAATCACTCCAGATGCAATGCTTTGCCATGGAGGCCGTTCACGCAGTGAGTTGCCACCCACTGATTCAAGTGGTGTTTGTGTTGCGTCAACCTTTGCTTTGATGCAACAGGGAAGGAAGGAGAAAATAGAAGGCAGCTTATCCGCTGCATTAACAATTGTGCAAGAGAAGAGTTTCCAGCGAGCGTGGCTTGCCATGTCGGCAAAAGAGACCTGCAAGCCCCTTCGGTTGCTCAAAAGTGTTGGGAATGCTGATATAGCATGACTGGCTCGTCACCCATCTGGGCACAGCACCCCTCAGCTGCAGCCACCCTGTGGCTGCGACCACCCCAGAGTGGGCTGACCAGGCAAGAGGCCCACGCAACAGAATCGCTGGCCAGATGTGAAGAATGGAGGGGGGCGATCAGGAAATGGCCAGAGGGAGCGAATTTAACAAAGCCTTAGCAGGAGTAGCCTGTCAAGCAGAAAGCACACTGGCTGCTTCTAGTTAACAGCAACAAAGCAATACAGTGCTCAGCAACAAGGAGCGGTGTGAACAATGCACGGAGACCAACCGGGGTGCAGTAACCTGTATACAGACGGAAAATACACAGCTCACAGCATAAATCAAATGATGTCCATTGCAGAGGAACATCAGATGCCCTGTGCAAATGCCATAATAAGATGCTCCTCACAGTTCAAGTAGTTCCACCCTTGGAGGGAGCGTCCTCACACTCCTGTGGCACTGGCCACCACCTCCTGCACCCTTGTGGTACCTCGACGGCCATGCAGAGTGAGCACCAGGGTGTACCAGGGCAAGGGGAGATAAAAGACGGGCGCTGACTGGAACAGGGGCAACTCAGCAACCCCCCCCTCCTCCCCAGCTTTGGCATACCCCTGTCTCCCTCTGAGGCCAGCTGTGACCTGGCGGGGAGGTGGGCCGTTGGTACTGCGCTTTCGTTGCCAACTGCAAGGGGGCAGGAAGGGAGCTGATGCAACGTCACAAGCAGGGATGTGAAGGTCAGGATGGAATCTGGGGCTCCTGCCCTCGCTGGCCTGCCTTCCCGTGCTGGGCCCTGGCTGGGAAGCCAGCCAAGCCGAGGTCACGTCCACGACTGCTCCGGAGCGCTAGCAGCTGCTCTGTACAAAGCATGTGAAGTACACAGTTCTTTGCACCAAGTATGCAAAACACGCAATTCTTGGTCAAAGTCTGCAAGTAGGCAATGCCCGCGAGTCACATATGTGGAAGTCGAACTCAGCTCGCACAACAGGTGCATGGGCAGCTTCACGGCCACACATGGACGCGATTCTTGCGAGACCCCTGTGCAGATGCTCAGTGCGAGGTGGACTCAGGGCACAGAGAAAGCAGGCCAGAAGCTGAGCATTCAGACTGAGGAAATCTGCTGGATTCTCATTCTCAAACCAAATTCCTCACACGTCGCCATTTGCAATGTATTGTGTTCCAATTAAAACTGCACAAAGTGTACAAAATCAGTGTGTCCACTAAACATAGTCTAATTATAAGAAATATTACTAGTGTATATTGCAAGTCATATGATCACATTTCCCACCTTTTCTCTGCCTCATCATATCTGCAGCATTCCCTCCCGTTTCTCACCTGCTTTTTCCTTTGCAGAGAGCCTTGGCTATTGGGCTGTATAAAAATTGGGTGGTGGGTGGGTGGGTGGTCCTGAGGCTTGTGCAAAGGATGAGGTTAAAATGCTTTAAATAAATAAATAAACAAAATGTTGTGGAGTGAAGTCCAGCTGACTGCAGCAGGCAGAAGAGGCTGAAGAGCGGGGAGATGAAGAGGAG